GACTACAGCTTTTACGTAACAAGTTACAACATGTTTCTGCAGTGTTTTATTAATTATTGTTGCTATTGTCTTGCAACCTGATGTTGCTGCATTCACCTTCTATGATCATGATCAAAAGTGTATTCTCCTCATTAAACTCTTGTCATGCAACCTTAGATTTATCTCGTTGATATTCCTTCTTGTTCGCATTGCACTCTTTTGCAGAATGACCGAACCGTTTACAATTAAAGCATTACACCTTGATTTTGTCAAACCTTTTCCTTTCACCTCTAAAGTTGCCTTAACCACTATTTTTGTTGCAGTAGCTATCACTCTTTTGACAAGTCAAATTCTTGGAACATTGGGACTCTCTTCCACCAAAATTCTGAAAATTCCCTTTACTCTTCATGGGCCATTTTCATTTCAATCTATTGTTTTTCTCGTTGAAACGAGCTTGTAAAGGGATCTCTACCTTTGCCTTATCATTATTTCTCTCATTCATCAACTTTTTTCATGAGCCTCTAGAGAGTTTTAAAGCTCATTTTTACTCATCTTTGCAAGATCCTTCGATGCCTCAATCGCTAGAGCCACACTGTCAAATCTTGGCCTTAAATAACGCAAGACTTTTGCGGTAACATACAACATCGTGAGTGTTTCTCCACACGCCTACACTTGATTCACCAATTATTTGATTCTTGTTGTGAAATCATTGATCATCTTCTTTTACTCCATTAGAATCAATTTATGTTGATGTTTGTGAGTTTATAATTGCACCACCTTGTCACACCCTCATTTTCACCTTTAGCCTTTCATATCCTACATTCATCATATCATACATCATTCTAGTGCATATCGAGCATGTGGGTTTATAAGGTAAGGATTAAGTCGGTTCGTTGCTTTCCATTTCAAATAAGAGAAATTTCCTATCATGGGCTACATTGAAGAAAGATTCATCATCTAAGGTTTGATTCAAGTCGGAAAGTCTACTCATGTAGATTTCTTCAAGGAGAAGTTAGTTGAAAAATATTGCGGTATTCAAGGTCAATGTTCCTAACGAACATGATTGGCAAGGCCTAATTCAAGATTTCTTCATCCAATTTTGTTTCAAATTCTATGTTCAAGTGGAATTCAAAAGATTACAAGTTCATAATTCAAGACTTCATCCTTTTCAAATTCAATAGTATAAGGGAGATCCATCATTCCAAATTCAAGATTCATGAATTCAAGATTAGATTCAAGAATATTACAAAAAAAGGAAATTTCATGACATTGCAAGAATGTCACATTTGTTACAAAGTTTCCAACTCTAAGCAATGCTTAGAAAATTAAGCTATTTTAAATCTTAATTCAAGTTTCTAATCAACTTCATGCTATGGTACCCTTCATGCCTCATCAAATCTCCATGTGCTACATTAAGCCTCCACATAATTCACAACCAAATAAGCCCACAAACATCCAAGAAAAACAATTAAGGTTCAATTCAATATTGGAACATTTCAAAATCAAGACCATTTATGCTTATCCATGGACAATTTCAAGACATTTTCAAGTTAGTCCAAAACAGCCCCATGCATGTCCCAAGCAAGAAATGACAAATTATCTCATATCCAAATAATTCATGTCACAAAACCAAAGGAATCAACTCATAATGATGCATCTAAATATCAGAATTTTGAAATATTGTCAGAGGTAGAAACTTGGACCACAAGGGCAGTCCAAGCACAAGCAAACAAATGGGTTCAGGTTTGGGAACAAGACAAAATACAGCCAAGCAGAATTCATGGAAATGGAAAGAATTGGGCTTGGCATCAAGAAAGTGATGAGAAGCATATCCCAATAAAAAGATTCTGCAGCAAACAAGTGAAATAAACCTTATTGTTTGACTATAAGGAGGGGAGCAATAGTAAAAAGAATAGAGAGCAAGAGATAGGGAGAAAACCAGAAAAAATAAGAGAGAAAAGTGACATTGAGAATAAGAGGGTTTTAGAAATAAAAACAGAAAAAAAGAGGTAGAAACATAGAGTGTCAAAGAAGAAAATACATCCAACAAAACAATAGTGGTGATTAGAAGGCGAGTAGTAGCTCTTGGGTATCATTTCTTTCAAACTCGTCTCTCTTTACATATTTGCATGTTTTTATTTTCTCTCTTAAATGATATTTGTGTTGTACATATTGTAATAAGGTCTCAAGAGTTACCAAGAACTATTGTAAAAAACACAAAAAAAGGGAAAGAACATAGTTTAGTTTTTATAGTGAAATGAGTTGAAAAATACTCATGTGTGTTGTCATGTTTGCACTGCGAACATACCCTTCGCCTAGCGAACATCACTTTGTGGCACTTAGAGTGCCACTGAACAACCAGTTTTCCCTTATTTTTAGCTAGCGAGTTGTTCGCTGGCACCTTCGCACTGCGAACTTTGGCACCTTTTGCCTCTATTTGTGAATAGTGCGTGTTTTGTGGGATTTCTTGTGCGTTCAACCATGTAAGTCGATTGCCTTGTGCGTCGCCATCGACCTTGTTCGCATCACTTCAAATATTTTTACAAGCAATAAAACCCTTGATCCAACATCAAGTGGTATTTTTCTCATAAAAAATCCAAAAAAATAATAAAGATACGATTGGGGTTATACGCCATGAGCTTTAAAGTGGTGGAGAAGGAATGAGAATGGAACCCCTCCTACACTCGTTCCGAATGTTTTGAATACAAGGCGCTCGACTTGGTTATTCGAAACATTCATCTCTATCCAAAGTCTTTAGTGTGATCCTAATCAAGAACAATTTCTTCTCAAAAATCCTTAAAAAAAATCAACTCATCAAACTTATCTTCGCCTTAGGGCATCAATCCAAAAACCCTTTTTTCAATGTATAAAATCAACCGACAAACAACCATTCCACAAGCCTCCGAACTACGGAGCTCTGATTCTTCACTTCTTTTAAGTGAGGATACGTAGGCACAAGGGGCACAATCCTTGGCGAGCACTCTAATAAAAAATCAACCCCTCTTTTCCTTTAAGCAAGCAAACTTTTAGATTAAAAACACTCATTCAAGCTAAACAACTTAGAAGGTTCCCATCGAATACGATGGATGTGAGGGGTGTTAATACCTTTCCCTCACATAACCGACTCCCGAACCCTAAAACTTGGTTGCGATGACCATGCTCTTTTCCTAAAGGTTTTATCGTTATTTCCCTTTCCCTCCTTGGGATAAATAAAATTCGGTGGTGACTCTGTGTCATTTTTTGCGTAGTGACACACCTTTTCCTTGTTATCCCCTGCATATTCCTTCTCTAAGATTTTTCACGCTTGCTTTGACATTTCACAATCACCAAATTTTTAAAGGTTGTCACCATCCACACATTGATGGATAAAAAACAGCGCCTTGATATCTTTCTTCTTATCTTCCTTATGCATTACTTGTTGTGCATCTGTTGCACCTTCGAGAAGAGGATTCACCTCATTCTTGATCACTTCAAGAATATCTTGGTAGCCAAACAACACTTTCATTTGTCGTAATTCTTCTCATCAAAAGTGGGTAGATTTGTAGGGATTCTTTCATTGGAGACAAAATTCATGTTGCACACTGGGTGTTTGTGGATCAGAACCAGGATCTTGATGCCAAATATTAGAACATGGAATCACAAGATTGGTGAATAATGGAGAAATTAGAGTGTGGAGAGTGAGAGAGAAATTAATTGAGGGTGAGAATATTTTGGTTATCATATATGAGGATGCCTTCAAGGCATTTATACAATCATTACAAGTTAATTGAGACACAAGTTACATAAGTCAAATAACAGAAAAATAAAACTCTCGAACATGTAATCGATTACACAAAACCTGTAACCGGTTATAGTTGAAACAAAACAGAAACTAACTAACAGTGGTAATCGGTTTCTGCAAATGCATAATCGGTTACATCAACGCCAAAATTACTTTTTTTTAGCTTATTTGACCTATTTTAATACCTATAATCGGTTACATATCCGTGTTAAGCGGTTATAACACTTGAATTATTGAAAAACTCTTAACAAGAAATAGATGATGATTGAGTGGTGTTACCCATAGTTTAGAAAAACTATTAGATTGAGTTAATAGTACAAGGGAATGTTTTTTTGAAGTAGTTGAGAGGATTTTGGAATAGTAGGTAGGTAATATAACTATGTCTAATGTATGATCGAACGTAGCTCTGATGTCACTGTTAGTAGTTGATTGTTGATATAAGATAGTTTTAAAAAATTGTTTAGAAAGAAGACTATGATATTGATTTCTTGGGTGATGATTTATAAAGTATCAATTACCTATTTATAGACTCAAGTCATCAATCTCTTAATGGTGGTGAATGTTTCTACATTATTTTAATTCTTTCTACATGTTTCATGATAGATTAGTATTTAGATAGTTTTAGATGTTTCTATCATTTTCATATACTTATAGTTCTAAGATCTTCTATTTTTTTCATAAACATCGTAATCCTACGTTCTTCTACATTTTCATTCACATTATATTTTAGAATATTTTGAAAATTTATAGAAATTTCAAACAGCTAACAATGTCACACATGAGACGCCCAATAGGAGACGTGAATCATGTGCTAGAAAACTTTATGATTTTTTATGGTCTACCACATCTTATAACAACTACTTACATAGTAGATGGAAGAGTTTGTTCTTCTCCCTCTTTTATCTTAGATTATTGTTTATTTTAGCTATTAATTGCTCCGCGCTATTTGGATATGATATAGACACCACAGCAAAGACTAGTTTATTCATATATTATCGATCAAGTACATTACATGCATCTGTTTTTGGTTTGTCTCAAACCAAGACTGGCACCATAAGCAAAGTACATTGGCTTAATTTCACACATCAAATTACATTCATTTTCATTTTAAACATACTTTTATTTAGAAGCTTTTGCTATAACTTATTCATACTTGCCAACAATCACCACACACTTATATTGAACTTTGAGTTGAAAACTTCCATCCCCAAACTTCAATTTATTTTAGTATACTTCCTCCTCAATTGCAATTCTGTATACACATAAAACAAAGTTTGACCACAATACTAAGTCAAATAACTGAAAAGTAAAAAACAAAAATAAATTTGATCTTCAAATTTTTTCATCAATAATAATACTAAATCTCACAATTTAAAAGAAAGAAATTAATCCATCTATATATATATATACTTGCCTTCCTGTGGCAACGGTATTCATTGTCGCTGTCACACTCATCACTGCTACTGCCGCTGTCACTGCTGTGACCTGATATGCCATCCTTCATCCTCTGGAACATGTTTCTCTTCTCTTTCCTATTTCTCCCTTGGCATTTTGCCGCAGTGGTGCTGGTAACAACGGTGGTGCCAGTAGCGGCATGATTGTGATTACTGTGATTTTTGGCAACATATCCTGGTTGATAAATCACATCTGTCTCGCTATAGTATTCGGTTTTGGTTTGTGTTCCATCATTGTGGTGTCCTTTGAACAAGCCAGTTAGCTTCTGTCCGATTGAGCTATGTTGCTGCTGCTGCTGGGAGTGGTTTTTGTGTTGGCAGCTTTGTTCACAGGTTTTGTAACACTGAGCAGAGGCCATTGCAGCTAACTGTGAGTTTTTCTTGGTTTTGTTGTGATGTTTTTGCTTGTTGTTTATGCTTTGAAGGTTTCAAAATGAGTTCTCATATATATATATATAGTGACTAGTAAGGTATTGAACGATTTTGGAATCTATATACTTTTTTTGTGGTTGAATAATATGGCATGTTATGGTATTTTATTGTATGGTGTCATCATCTTTTTATCATTTTGTCCACTGAATATATACCAAATTAATTTCGTTCGGACACTTAAAATAATTTGGCATAGATGAGAATCATATACATACAGCCCATAGTGGCCCATTTTAGATGGTGAGTTTTCCTATTCCTCAATATCAGATTGGAAGCAAATTATTCGGAAAGACATAGTTTTTGTGTATGGATGTGTATTTACAAACAAAAACACTATTTCCCACCTAATCTGAATGCAAACTTTAGAAATGTCTGATTTATGGTGGTTTGAATGAGTTTTAGTTTTTAATATTTAAAAACTATTTTGTAAATTAATTTTAAAAAAGAGTTTTGAAAAAAAAAGGTTTGATAATTTAATTTTTGAAAATTATTTTAAAGTTGAACAATATTACAAATTTGTCATTAATTAAAAATGTATCATTTATTTCTATATTTTTACTTTTCCTAATTTCCGAAACTAAAAGCCAAAACCAAAAACTTTCAAAATCTATTTTAGTTTTTTAATTTTTAAAACTCTCTAATAGAAAAATAGTTTTGTAAAATTAGACTACCAAACAAATTTTAAAATTTTAAAATTTTAAAATTTTAAAAATTAAAAAACATCAAATATATTTATGTTTTACCATGGCTTCTAAGGGGGCGACTATGCCATGCGGTCAGCAATTTTAAGCATTCATGTATTTGAAATTTTTTCAATCGTGAGATTATAATCAAACACTTAAATTTTCAAGTTAAATATTTTTATATAACATAAATTAAAAAATAATATATAAATTTTAACTGATTGATCTTGATCAAACAATTGAAAAAATGTTAAATATGTTAATGCAATAAAAATTAACCACACTGGATTTTATTTCTTTCTAAGGTGATATTTGTTGAAGTTTTTGAAATAATTTAAGTGTTGTAACCGATTATCACGAGTGTGTAACCGGTTACAGCAAGGTCTGAGATGAATTCCGGTAGTAAAAAAGTTGAAATTTCGCAGGTGTAACCGATTACAGGTTTTGGTGTAATTGGTTACTACTGAAGCTGATTTAATTTTTAATTTATTCAGTATCAGGTGTAACTAGGGGTGGAAATAGACTAGACTAGACTTTAGAAGGTCTGAGTCTGGCCTATGATAAACTTACAAGACCTGAGTCTGGCCTATGGCCTATTATAGGCTCTTTTTTTGGTCTGACCTGACCTTTTTAAAAGTCTGGTATGGCCTGGAAGCCTATTTAAAAGCATGTTTCTTATTAAGATTTTCAATTAATTCATATTACTTAAGAAGCTTTATACACCGGTCTATATATGCATATATAGGCCGACCTATATATATATATATATATATATATATATATATATATATATATATATATATATATATATATATATATATATATATATATATATATATATATATATATATATATATATATATATATATATATATATATATATATATATATATATATATATATATATATATATATATATATATATATATATATATATATATATATATATATATATATATATATATATATATATATATATATATATACACATCTGTGTGTGTGTGTCAGTCTATTTAACATTTTTTCTAATATACATGCATATATAAGTCAGCATATTTAAACTATATTTAATATATATGAAAATATAGGCCAACCTATAAGGCTTCATAGACTTTTTTAATAGCCTATGCCTAGCCTATTTAATTAAATAAGCTTTTAAAAAATTCTAAGCCTGGCTTTTTTATTAAATAGGTCTGACATGGTCTAGCCTTAAATAGGCCAGGCTATAGGTCGGCCTGGCCTATTCTCATTCCTAGGTGTAACCGATACCCAGTTTGGTGTAACTGATTACATGCAAGATTTTTTGTATTTTTTGTTATTGTACTTGGTCAATTTAGCTCACAATTGATTTGTAACTCATATATAAGTGTTTAAGATGCACACTCATCCTGGTTAATGCAATAATAACATCTCCTCTCTCTCTCTCTCTCTCTCTCTCTCTCTCTCTCTCTCTCTCTCTCTCTCTCTCTCTCTCTCTCTCTCTCTCTTAATTCTCCTCTTTCACTCTCCACATCCAAAACTTCTCGACCATTGCTTCACTAAACATGTAGTTGCTTGTTCCAATACTTGACATCAAGAGTTTGGTTCAGATCCATAAACACCTAGTGTGCAACATGAATTTTATCTCCAATGAAAGAAAACCTGCAAATTTAACCATCCTTAATGAGAATAACTACATCAAATAGAGCAAGCAAATGAAGGTGTTGTTTGTCTACCAAGATGTTCTTGAGGTGATCAAGAATGGTGTTGCTCTTCTCCAAGCTAATGCATCAGAGGCGCAACAAACATCACATAAAGAAGAAAAGAAGAAAGATTTCAAAGCATTGTTCTCGATCCATCAATGTGTTGATGGAGACAACTTTTAGAAAGTTGGTGATTGCAAATCATCAAAAAGAAAATGGCCCATGAAGAGCAAAGGGAATTTTTAAAAATTTTGTGGAAAAGAGTCCCAAAATTCAAAGAATTCGACTTGTCAAATGGGTGAGAGCAGCTACAACAAACATGGTGCTCAAGGCAACTATAGAGGTGAAAGGAAGAAGTTTGACAAAAGCAAGGAGCAATACCATAAGTGTAAACGGTGCAAAAGAGAACAAGAAGGAATTTCAAAGGGATAATGCCAAGGTTGCAAGGCAAGAGTTTGATGAAGAAAATACACTTTTGGTCATGATCACGAAAGGGAATTGTAGCAGCAAACATCTGCGGGACAGCAGCTGCAGCAGCTCAAATAATGCTGAAAGTGAAGACGTGGTCGATTAAATGATACGATTGACCGGTTGCACGAAGAGGAAGATGGCATGATAAGTGTGAAAGAAGTTCAGTGCAGTAAAGAGTGATATTTTGACTCGGGTTGTTCAACTCATATGACGAAAAGAAAGGATTGGGTTATCAAAATTAACCATGCCATGAAGAACAAAGTAAAGCTCACGGATGACACCGCTCTAATGGCCTATGGGATCAAATATGTCTTGAGTATTCTAGGAATCAAATGTAACCTTCTAATTATTGGCCAATTACTTGAGAAGGGTTACAAGATTCACATGGAAAATAAGGGGTTGCGCTTTATGGATGCAAAAGGAGTTTTGGTCGTTAAAGTTCCTATGGCTTCCAATAGAACCTTCAAGGTTGAGTTGAAGGTTATAGAGCATAGATGTCTTGTTACTGCAGCAAGTCGTGAAAAGTGGGTGTGGAAATATCGTCTTGCGCATTTCAGTTTTAGAGAACTCAAAGACTTGCAAAAGAACAAAATGGTAACAGGACTGCCAACGATCAACATACGAGCTGAAATTTGTGAAGAGCGTGTGCAAGAAAAGCAACATAAGGGAAAATTCAGCAATGATTTAGACCAGAGAACAAAGAATCACCTTGAGGTGGTGTATTCAGATGTGTGTGGGCTAATGCAAGTATATTCTATTGGTGGCAATAGGTGCTTTGTCATATTTATCAATGATTATAATAGAAAATGGACATACCTAATCAAAAGAAAGGATGAGATATTTGAAGTGTTCAATCAGTTTAAGTCCATGGTGGAGAGGTAAACTAATCATAATCTCAAAGTGCTCAAAACGGATGGTGGAGGAGAATATGTCTCAAATGACTTTGGGAGATTTTGTGATCAAGAAGGGATTGTCCATGAGGTAGTACCACCCTATACACTAGAACAAAATGGTGTATCCAAAAGGAAAAATTGATCAATCGTGAACATGGTGATAAGCATATTAAAGGGGAAGAATTTGTGGAAAGAGTTATGGGGAGAAGTGGTATCCACAGCTGCCTATTTATTGAATATGTGTGTCGCAACTACGAAAAACACCTGGCGGAAAAACAGAAGAGTCACCACGGAATATTATTAATCCCCTTAAAGAAAACCTGAAAGAAGGTAGAAGACATGGTCATCGCAACCAAATCCTAGATTCGATAGTCGATTATGCAAGAGGAAGGTATTAGCACCCCCTCGCGTCTGTTGTACTCAATGGGATCCACACTTGTTGTCTAATTAAAGGGTGTGTTATCTAAAGCCTACTGCTAAACTGGAAACGAGAATAGAAAAGAAAAGGATACTCGATAGGACTTCGACATCCTATGCCTACGTGTTCTCTCGTGCAATGGGAAAGTTAGAGTCAACGTAGTTCGGGAAACTTCGGGTGAAAGGGGGAAAGGTTGCTCGCCAAGACATCACCGCCTTGTGCCTATGTATCCTCAATCGGATGAGAAAGAGGAAGTCAGAGCAGTCGTAGTTTGACGTACGAGTCAATGCATGTTTTTTATGAGCGACGTTAAGTTCTCATTCCAGCAGTTGGAGTCGATGCCTGTTTGTGGTAGAACAGAAAAATAACGTACTCTTTCTGAAAATGGTTGACACACGATCCCAAAGGATGAAAATGATTTGAATTTGTTTGTGAGTTTTAGATAATTGAATTAACTTTATTTGGAATATGCATCGCACTAAAGTCTATGACATAGGATCGGATACTTCGTGCTAACAATCCAAACGTCTCGCGTGCAAAGTATCCTAATATGAGGTTAGAAATGCATCCGCTCATCTTTTTCCATGTACTTAAGGCTCGTGGAACACAATGCACATCATATTTATTAAGTTTTTTGGTTTTGTTTTTAAGAAAGAAGAAGAGAAAGACACACAGAAGGTATAAGGGGAAACTCGGTCCTAACGTCCTCGTGAAAAATGGCCCTAAGGTCGGGATGCGAAAGGAATTTCTATCCTAATGTTAGCATGTACAAGTGGACCT